CTAACCTCTTCAATTTCTTCCTTGAGATATAATCATTGAAAAGGCCATATCCCTTAATATTCTTGTTCGACATTATATATATGCAATATCCCTTTTATTTCATTGTCTTAAAATTTTCTTTTATCCACATTTTGGGGCAAATTTACCAAAAAGCCAAATTATCCAATTTTTTCAGTATCTTTTCTTTTATAGGGCATTGATTTTATCTTTTGATGTGAGTTGTGAAAATCAAGATTGTTACATTAGGACTTCATTTAAAGTAGTAATTTAAGCTTGAGTTGCAAAAAAACAAAACAAAACAAAACAACAAAAAATATTGATTGTAACATCACGCATATGAGATATTTAAATGATTTTAAAATTAAAAAAAAAATTCTCTTACGAATTACTTTTCAATGAAGGTATCCATATCTGATATGATAAATGGCCATATTTCATATTTCTTTCAACAAAAAAAAATAGCCATTTGCTATACCACATTAGAGGGCAAGCAAGAAAGAGAATCTATTTGAGAAAATAATACAAAGTTATGAGCAAGGAAAGAATGCCTATAATCAAAAGGCAAGTTTTCAAATTTTAGACTCAAATTGTCTGAATGTGGAAAAATGAAGAAAAAAAGGAAAACAAAGAAAAAAAAGATGAAAATGCATATTTAAGAAATGAAAAGGAAATTTTCATTAAGAAAAGAAATTATCATCGGTTTGATTACCCTTAAACACATTTTTGGGCCTATTTACCCCTTTTTTCAAACCCCAAATCTTGACCTACGTTACATCATTTGAAAAGCCTATTTTGATCATGTGTGGATATTTAAATTGAAAAGCTTTTCTTTAGGAAATCACCATTACCTTTTAATTTTGAATGAATTTTGAGTTTTTCAAATGCATGATGAGAATAGTCAAAAGAAAAAGAGAAAAGAAAAGAAGATTGAATAGAGCTTTAAAGTGAAAACCCGAAAGGGCAGTTTAGAGCAAGATTGAAAGCAACTCAAGCAATATCATTAGAGGAAGGAACCAAATGAAAATCTTTGAAAAATTCAAAAAGATGAACCCTAATCTAAAAATTTATTTTAAAATTTAAACTTTTTTTTTTAATTTTGAGCTTATCACAGCTAGTCTTGACATTTGTTAAATTACCATATCAAGAAATTAAGAGAGTACAAAAGTGGATTATGCTTTAAAAGATGATTTTTCATTAGTGAGCCTTAATGAAAACATACTAATTTACTTTTTCCTGTCTAGTGGCAAAATCTCCTTTAAGATCGTAGTGTGTCGAACCATTTTATTCTCTTAGATAGACCAAATTGAGATTCGCTTTCATCATTCTATGTAATAATCACCAATTTTTAAGAGATTCAATTACATGTTTTCAAAAGAATATGCATTTTTTGGATCATGGAATAGTTATATAGGCAATTTTTTTAGTTATCATGAATGTTGGGCCATTTTTTTGTGAAGACATTTATATTGACATAAATTGATGTGGATAAGAGATAGGTGATTTTATATCATTATGGTAAGAATGACTTTTTCAAACAAGGAATGGTCAAGGTAAAACGTTTGAAAAAGATCCATGGATAATATAAATGGTTTGAAAAATGAAATGTTCAGAGTCAAAATAAGAGGATGGAGGATTATTGTTGAAAACTAGCTTGTTAGCTAGTTCTAAAGCTCTATGATAAATTATGAAAAAGGGCTGGAGGACCTATTTACCACAATTAAATATTCATGACATTGATTTTTGCATTACATGTATGACATTCTTCTCATTCATTACATATTCAATTGACTTTGGATTTTGATTTTAAAAGGTTAAAAATTTAGAAATATGAGATTCTGACCCTAATTGAAGAGAATTTGTTGAGTATGAGATTTTATTTTTTGGTTGAGAAAAAATTTTCATAACAAAAGTGATAAGTTTTGGGCTAAGAAAATTTTCAAAATAAGATTTGTAAAAGTGTTTGGCCTTGATTAGAGGGTGAAGCCTTTTCCAAGATGAGATGTTTTTATTTCAAAAGAAATTATTTTTTTAAAGTTTCAAAATCTTTGTTAAGGAGAAACTTTTTCAAAGATAAGAAATGATTTGTAAGACTTTTGGGCATAATTTGTAAAACCTCCAGACATAATTTATAAGGCTTCCAAGCATAATTTTCAAGACTTCTAAGCATGATTTGTAAGACCTCTAGTTATAGTTTGAAAGGCATTCGGGCATAATTTTCAAAACCTTCAAGCATAATTTGTAAAGCCTTTGGGCATAATTCTCAAGACCTCTAAACATGATTTGTAAGACCTCTGGCATAATTTGTAAGCCTATCAGACATAATTTTCAAGACCTCCAAACATGATTTGTAAAATTTTCAAGCATAATTTTGAAGGCCTTTGGTCATAATTCTCAAGACCTCTAGCATGATTTATAAGACTTTCGGGCATAATTTTTAAAACTTCCAAGCATAATCTCAAAAAAACTAAAATTTGAAAAAATAAGACCTTTTGATAAAATTTTGGTCTTCATATGAGGAAAATATTATGAAGATAAAGTTTGAAACCTTTGGATGAAAAGAATGATTTCAAGAAGAATTAGTATATCTGGTTAAGAAACTCTTCCAGTTTTAAAGTTTCGTAGCATCCATTTAGTGGAGTTTTTTCTTACCACAAGATGAGAATCTCATATGCGAATATTTGAGATATTGAATTTTAGATTTGAACTTTTCAAATAAGAATCTTTGAATTTTGTATGTGAAGCTCTAAAATTTTCAAATGTGATTCTTTGAATCCTTGATGAGAATCCTAAAGACTTATGCGAATCTCAAGGATTTTTCAGTGAGAATCCTGAATCTTCAATTTGAATATTTGAATGAACCCCTAATCTCCTTTAGATAAGAATTTCTTTTACATTTTCAAAGTTCTAGAACCTCTATTTAAAGGAGTATTTAAATGTTAAGATTTGTAAGACCTCCGAGAAGAGTCTCTAAGTTCTCCAGGCAAAATTCGTAAGTCTTTTGAGTCGAATCTATTTTTTTTATTAAAGATTTGTAAGACCTTCGGGTAAAATCCCAAGTCCTCTGGGCAAAATTCATATGTCTTAAGAGTAGAATGTTTAAATTTTTATATTTTTTAAAATTGTTGAGCCTCCGATAAAATGAGCATTTTATATTCTGAAATTGTTAAGTCTCTGTTAAAGAGGAACTTTTGTAATTTTATTTTTTGATTTTTCTAGGCCCAAACAAAATGGATAACTTTTATCTTTGTACAATTTCTATTTCATAGAAAATGTGCAAAGAATGACAGCTATAGACACCTCATTTAGTCGAAGGTATTTTTTAATTTTATTTTAATATTTTAATATTTTATTTAGTTTAGGATTATTTATTTTGTTAATTAATTGATTTGTGGTTTTTTTTAAAGAAGAAAAAAAAAGTTTAATTCGGTTTAAAGTCTGGTGTTCTAATTAAAAAAATGTATTTGGTTAAGAGGTGGACTTAGATTAAAAATCCAAAATTAACTTTGATTAGAAGATTGAAATCAAAAATCAAGAGAGAGAGTAAAAAAAAGTAAAAAAATTAAAAGCTTTTTTAATCTTTTCTGATGTTTTGGGTTTAGATATTTATGATTTTCTTTCAGGAGTTTTATGTTGAGAAAAGAAATTGAGAAAAAACACAAAAGGCATTCAACAAAAAGTTTTTACAGCAAAAATTTTTGAAGGTTTCGGATATATATGTTTTAAGTTAGACAATCACCACAGACGATGGGTGCTAACAAAAAAACATAGGCTGTTTTGTAAAAAAAACAAGAAAGAAGACAAGGTAATTTTTTTTCTTCTTTATTTGTATATCTATTTATGTTATTTAATTATTTCTCTTTTTTCCTTTATGCATATTTAAAATAAATTTTTATAATAAATTCATTATTCATACCAAATTATTGGAGGATTTAAATCTTGAATTATGAATTCTACCAAAAGATTGAAGAATTTCATAATAAATTTTTTAAAAAATAATTTTTTAATCCTATCAAACGATTGAAAGATTCAAATTTTTGCTAAATCTTATAAAACTATTAGAGGATTTAATGATTTTTATTTTTAAAATTTTCATAAAATGATTTTTAATAAAAATATGAATAAACGATTGGAGGGATATGTATTGATATAAAATCTTGCCAAATGATTGGAGGATTTTATTGTTTGATTTTTAAAAAATGATTTTTTTGAAAATATGTTAATAAATCCAATGACAAAACCTCTTCAAACTGGAACACGAGTTTTCATGAATACTCTTGAGGTGAAAAAAATTACCTTAAATCACTACCAAACGATTGGAGTAATTTTAATATCAATTTCTAATAATTAAATTTACTTGGTAAAAATTCAAAAATATTTTAAGACTTGGATAACATGAAATCAAATTGGTATCATCATTTTATGGGCATTGTGAGACTACTATAATCTTTTCATACGTAACCATACTCTTAGATCTAATCTTGGTTTCGTCGACATAAAATCTACATTTTAACGATACCTAAGTTAAGTTTGAAATTTTTCTTTAAAAATAGACAGATTCACTTAAGTAATTAATCACACTTTAACAAAAAAAAATAACGGTGACTCTTTAGGTTATGTCTAACTATAAGTCTATAATTCTATATGTTATGATAAAGAGTTTAGAAGGGAGGCAAGAAATCTACTTTTTGTTTGGCTAGCTGAAGATTATATTGAGGATTTCAGATTGTTTTTCTATTAGTGATAGCCTTGGTTCTTGATTGATCAGCAAAGGATCTTTATGGATGACCGAAAAAAAAAAGAAAAGGCCAGCAAGATTGAACAGTGAAAACATTTAAACTATGAAAATGGACATTTTGTTAATTACACTTTTAAATTATTTATACATATTAATAAGATTTTTTTCAATTTATAAATGAGAAACTTACACATTCATGAAATAAATTTGTTTGATTGATCAGATTTATCCAATTTATGAGCAATATGATGAAATGAAAATTTACCTTGATGAAATCAGCACAGTTCCATATGCTGAAGATCCCTTCTCTAGCAGCGTCAGGAGACGGCCAAAGAGCAATCCTCACATTAGGATCATAAGAAAGAAAAACTCCAGCTTCCTTGGCAGCATTCATGGCTGCCATGTGAGCAGATCTACTTGGCTCTGATATTAAGCTGATAGATCCGAAATGGAATATCTTGGATTGCTTGATCAGACCCATTTTTAACTCTGATTCCTTCAACAGCATAGTCGCACTGGGCTCTTTAGAAAAACTGAACTCCCTCTCTCCATTCTCCTTTATTATCACCACTGCACATGCAGTTCTGGCATAAGAATCGAAGCAGATGCCTTCAATGTTCACTCCATGTTTCTTCAGCACATCAACCAGCATGTGCCCAAACTCGTCGTCTCCAAACTGTAACAATGTAAATCCGTGTAAGAAATATTTTTAAAATAGTGAAATATATTTAGTTAAGTATTATGCTTCATTAATTATTCGAGAAACCAAGTTAATAAAGTTAGGAATAAGCTTTGAAAATATTGCATAACTGAAATTAATTCAAGGCACAAAGTGATTTTCAAATGAATATTGTGCCTATTTCTACTTGAACGATTGTTTCTTATTGAAATGAACTTGCACAAAGTGATTTTTCACTTGTAAATGGTTGCTAATTGCAATTATTAAGTTCTAAACGATGTGTTCTTAATGAAAATGACAAATTTGTTGATCGAAACAATATAATTAAAAAATCATAAATTATGGATTAAATCTCGATAAACAAAGATGAGAGAAGACAATATTAAAAATACAAGAAATTTAATCTTAATCTTCTCCCTATCATTATCAAATTAAAAACAAGTCTTTAAAACTCTGTTTGTTGCAGAAAATCTAGTCTAATTGAAAATTATATTTTTATTTCTCATCAAAGATATTTATTGATTTAGAATCCATTTGAATGGGTGGAATGATGAGATGAATTGAAATGAGAAGAAAAAATATTATTAAAGATATTATATTAAATTTTATATATAATAAAAATTTTAAATTATAAAATAATAATATTTTTAATTTTTAATATAATAATAAATTTTATTATTTTACTAATTTATTATATAATAAACTTCATTTTATATTAAATTTAAAAAATTTATTTCATAATTTCTTAAATTAAAAAAATAAAAACGTAAACGTATTAATATATGCGAACAGTTGGAGATAAGAAAAAGACAAAACACCCCTAGTGGGCCACTGGAAAAGGAACCTCCAATGAGCAACTGAAGGTGCAGGAAGAGAAAATATCCAACCGTGCCACACTGAAGGAAAGCTACACGAATTACCAGCGTGATTGAAGCCAAAACTGACTTTAAATGTGTAACACTGACCTTTCGATGACTTTCAAATCAGGCATTAAATGTCACAATTTGTAAGGTCATATCAAATAAGGGTTTTATCATAGGGTTATTCCATTCAACTCGTATTGCATTATTTTATTGGCAGAGAAAAAGTAAACCTAAAAATATCTAGTATGATCACTTGCCTTAAAATCACTTTCTTTTAACATTAACGACCCTATCTTGGAAAGCTAATGCTCTTCATCAGCAACAAGGTTTTTGAACCCAGGGTAGAGGACCCGAAGAGTTATATTTTTTTTGTTTTGATTTTTTATACAAGTTAATGGAACATAAATAATAACTTAAAAATAAACTAGTAAAAAGAAAACCGTAAATCCTGAGAAATCAATTAAAAATAAAATAAAAATAAAAAACTAGTTGTAGGCAATTTTTAAAAAATATATTACCTAAAATCATTATACTATAATTAATTAATCATAATTTAAAATTATATAAGATTTATCATAATTTTAAATGTAACCGACACTTATAAAAGTGAATCTCTAGTTTATTGTGATTGAATCAATTATAAAAGTATAATAAAAAAATTATAAGTGAAATATTCCACAACTTTTGAGCTTATTGGAAAAAATTAAAAATATTTTTAATTCTAAGAGTAAAAAAAAAAAAAATTGATTAATTTCATGGAAGCGTAGTTTTTAATTTTCAAAACTTTTATAGCCTCGTACAGGTATGCAAGTATATATTATATATATACACACCTTGCCGATGAAGGCTGAGTTGCCGCCAAGCTTCTTGACGGCACAAGCAACGTTAGCGGGTGCACCACCAGGTGCTTTGAGGAAACCAGAGGACTCAACGGAAGAAACAGCAGCAACATCGGAAAGAAGGTCAACCACCATCTCTCCAAATGATACGATCAGTGGGTTAGAATTTGCGGATGAGTTAGCAGCCATCTTTAATTCTTGTCTAAAATATTTAAAACCGAATGCCTTGTTGCTATAAACTGACACCTTGTTGCTATAAACTGTCATTAAAATGAGTAGTTGGGTGTTATACAAAATAAAGAATAATTATGTGTGGAAAATAAAAATATAAATTTTGTGATGATAGAATGGAATCGCTAATAAAAGTCAAGAACAATGACTTTTGAAAGCAAAATTATTTCATCTTAACCACCCAACAAGACTAGTAGGTGTAGGCCTAGAATTAGCGTTGAAAACAATGGAATTAACCCCAAAAAATTAAAATTAAAACTTTTTAGGGTAACTGGTGGATTTGGGTACAATTATTTTGTACTAAAATATATGTTATAATTATTTTATCAAAATAAATAATTATGTAAAGATCAATCATTTATAAATATAAATTTCATTTAAAATTTTGATTATTTTCACATAATTTTAAATTATAATTGATTAATTATATTTAATAATTGTAAGTGATATAATCTTGTTAAATTTGCATTTAAATTTGGCAAGAGGCTATCATCCTAATCATTTAAATTTCAAAATAAAAGTTAAAATGTACTTGAATTTCAAAAAAAAAAAAACTTGAAAATACATAAATTGATATGGAGAATTTTAAAATTTTGAAAAAATTTAAAATACTAGTATTTTAAAAGGCATTAAATAAAAATAATAGAGTTTATATTTGCATTTTTAAATAATTATTTTTTAGAAAGAAATTTTAAATATTTAAATTTGACAAGATAAAAATTAATTATAATAGAGAAATAATGATATTAGATATATAAAACCAAAACACTATTATATATATAAATATATTATGGGTGTCAATAACTTTGTAAAAATGTGTAGATATAATAATATGAAAAGATAAAAATAAATAGAATTTATAATGAGGTTTTTAGTTAAAATTGAACAAAACCAAAGTTTATATATATATATATAAAGAAATATAATTAATGTTGATTTTTTTATTATAAAACCAACAAATTTCACAAATTCTATTTAAAGATGATTTGAGCCCATCAAAATTTCTCATTTAAATTATAACAATTTCAACAAATCAAAATTTTATTTTATCAAATAAGATAATCTCATTTTAGAATTTTGAAAATCTTTCTACAAGTGAAAATCCACTTTTAAAATCTCTCATCCAAATGTACTTTTATAATATGTTTAAAATTTATGGCTTGTAAGAAAATTAGAATTGAATATCATATTCAAATTCTATGTTTTCAAAAGAAATCAATAATTAATTCATATATACATATATATATATATATATTACTAAGAAAAGTAATAGAAACCGCTATCAAGAATGTGCACAGTTCCCAGTAGCTATCCTTTATTATCGTGCTACCAATATTCAGCTCCTAAATCATGAAAGGATTGAAACCAAATAGAAAAGTGGAAGCAAAAGGATGAAAAGCAGTTTGTAGGGTAGAGGTGGATCAATGTCTTATCATGTTTATGGAAAATCTCAAAAATTAAAAATAAAAAAAATTTTTTAAAAAAATTTTTTATCGATAAAATTATTAAATTTATTAATATTTTTTATTGAATGATCTAATTATATATATTAAAATATATATATTTGATATTATTAATAACACTACTAATTTTTTCTTTTTTAAAAATAAGAAAATTCATCGTGAATTATAATAATATAATAATATTTTATTTAATTTTTATTTGTAATATTTATATATATATATATTATAAATAATTACTTTTATAAAAAATTAGGAATCCACCGTCACTGTAAGGCAAGATAAAGTGTCAATCGACAGGCACGATTGCCGATCAATAAGATTGTATTTGAGTTTTAGAAACATGGGATAAAGAATAACAGGGATTAGTAGGTGCCATTGCCAATCAATAGAAGGCGGTTGGTATGATGGAAGAAAAATCAACATTACACTTAAGAGAAGGGGAGGTTTGAGGCTTAAAGGACTTCGGTAAAGGTGCGAATGGACTTTAACTAGCTATTTAAAATTTAATATTTACATTATCAATCCACAGAAATACTTATCCATCATTAGTCAATATGTCTAGACTTTTGATCATAACAATCATTTTTCCTTTTAGTCAAAGTTCAAAAATTTTTTTCTTTTATAATGATTCTGAATTTAATACTTTTTTAAAACATATATATTTTTTAAAATGTAATTCAATATAATCTTTTTCACAAAAATAATATAAATTTAAGCTTTATTTATTTCGTGAAAATTTATTTCTAAAATATGTTTTTAAGAAAATGTTTTTATTTTAAAAAAAAAAACTAGAGATTTTTCGTTTCGATGAATCCATAAAAAATATTTTTTATGATTATGTTATTTTATGAAAAATCTAGCTTTTAATCATATTGACATAACTATTAAAATAGTAAAATTATTTATTACTAAATATATTAAAATTATTTATTACAATATTTATTAATACTTAAAAATAATTTTTAAAAATAATATATAAAATATATAATATTATTTTTATTATATCATAATATTAAAATAGTAATATTTAATATTAAAATAGTTATATATTATATTGATAGTATTTATTATTAAATCATAACAAAAATATTACATTAGTCAACAAATATAAAAATAAAATGTTTTAAAATGAAAAATACAAAAATATTAAAATATTCATATAATTAAAATAATATTAAATAATATTAATTATTAAATAATAAAATATTATTTAAATAATATTAATATTTATTACTAATATAATAATATAAATTATTTATTATTGAAATATTAAAATATTTATGTTTAATAATATACAAAATTAAATTATTTAAAATTAAAATATCAAAAGACTTTTAATAGTAATATTATAAATTTTTAATTAAAATTAAATAATAATACTTTTTATTAATGTAATAAGATTTGGGGTAAGTTAGTATTAAATTTGAGTTTAAATATAATATCAAGGGTGGCTTAAACAGAATTATAAAAATTATTTAAAATTAAAATATTAGAATATCTCTAATTTAATATTTTAAAACTTTTAACTAAAATTAAATAAAATTTTTTTATTAATATAATAATATTTAAAATCTGATCAAATTAAATATGAGTTTTAAAAAAATGTTAAAGCTTAAGCTTTAGTAGAATTATGATCACGAGTTTAATAAATAATTTTACTCTTAAACAAATTTTTTTTGGAATATCTTCTTTTTTTTTAAATGAAAAAATATTTTTTAAAAAAATGATGTAATTTATTTTTTATTAATCGACTAAATTTTTTATTAGATAAACACAAAAAACTGAAAAAATATATTTTTAAAATATTATTTTTCTTGAAAAGAAAAAAGCCTTAGCTCCTAAAAAATCAAATGAAAAAAAAAAAAAAAACTTGCAAAAAATAAATGGAAGTATTAAGGTAAAAAATAGTACCCATCCCCCTTTCGCAAACAAATAAAATAAAAGTTTATATCTGATAAAAAATTAGTGTCTAAATTTTATATATTATTAATAAATTAAACAATATTATTTTGTTAATGATATAAACTAAATGATATAAATTAATTAATAAATAAAATTTGTTAAAAAATATTAATCTTATATATTTATTTTAAATATTGATTTTTAATAATTAATAAAATAATGTCTGACCGTGTATTTTATATTTAATATAATAAATAAATATGTTTTAGGAAGAAGAGGACCGGGGCGAGCCGCCAAGGCGACTGGTATGTGGTTAAAGAAAATCTGAAAAGAACAAGAAAAACGAAAACAAATGGTAGTAGAAAACAGAAAATGGATCTGTACAAGGTGTTGGGGGTGAATAGGAGCGCCACCAAAGAAGAAATCAAAGAAGCGTTTCGAAAGCTGGCAGTGAAATATCATCCCGACAAACACTCCCAATCCCCAAAACCCCTCCGAGACTCCGCCACCCTCAGATTCAAGCAGGTCTCTGAGGCCTACCAGGTCCTCAGCGACGATCGCAAGCGTGCCCACTACAATCTTACCTCTTCTTCTTCTTCTTATAATTATTCTCATCAATACAGCAAGGCCAGCCGCGGCTATGCCTACGCTTCTTCCCCTTCCTATTCTTATTCTTACAAGAATAACATCTGGAATATTGCGTTTCGTTTCTTCTCAACGCGAGCCTTCCTTCTCAATCTCGCCTTTGCCGGGTAATCTCTTTGGGTCTTTGATTGGGATCATTTTCTAGTGAATTTCATTCGTTGTGTAACTAATGACGTGTGTTTATGATCTTTGACAGTGTCTTGTTTGGTGGAATTGTTGCATTTGATACCAGCAGAGAAGCATTGTGGAAAAAGCGGAATTCTGGGGTATGTATGTTATGTTTGCTTTATCAAAGGAACAGAACAGTGTTTGATCTGCAAATTTATGCTTCACCAATTGTTGATGATCTGTTTGATTTCTAAAGTGCTCAATTTTAGTTGCAGTGTTGATAGTTGAGACCATACAGCAATTACATATTTATACTTTTATCCTGAAACATTCTAAACATTCTAAATTCACTATATTCCATAGTGCTAGCTTCCTTTTTCATGTGTTAAAAGCTAGACATTCATGGGGGTTTGATACGGATATAGGACTGGTAGGAGGGTATTTTTCATGGGAATTTTGTGATATGATGATTCTTGAGTATTGAGGAACATCAGGAAAATGGAATAGAGAAAACATAATAGAGATAAAGAGAAGGTACCCTAAGATTCTCACCTACGGTACCTCAGTAGTTATATTCATTGCATCAGACAACAAGAAGAGCACCAATGCTGAATATTCCATGATGATAATCTATATCTCAAGAGAAAGAGCACATTGATTTATTTAGACTCGTAACATCCTAATCCTAAAAGAACTATAACCTTTTTTCCCATTATGACTTTAACAAAAATACTTGGACTCCAAATAGAAAACTACAAACTTAATAAATCAAGGTAAGATAAGGTAAACCTGAGTTAAGATTCTAAACAAAAATTCTTGAATTTCCAGCAAACCAGAAAATTAGGAAAATACTCTTCAAACTTGAAACTCAAAAAAGGAGAAAAATTAAATAAGAGCCTACAGCGTAACTTAAAAAACATAAATCTAAGACACAAATGCAACTGATAATGCCTATAAAATACAATAAATTAAGAAAATAAAATCATAAGAAGATATTTCTTTGCATTCTACATTATGCACCTATGTGTATACAAAAAACCATTTTTATGGGGATGCTGCATCATTTTGCTTAAACATTTTAAGTGCCTTATGAGAAGTTATATTTTATTTTTTATAGATGTTGATCCTTGTCAGCATATTTGGTTTTTTAAGCATAGACTAAGGCATTAGATTAGAAATTGTTAGATGTGGCAGAAGGGCTTGGACCCATTTTCATCCCTAGCCATGCCCATTTAAAGATTTTTATTTGTTTATTTTTTTAAATAGTCATCGATGATATGCATGGCAAATTATCTAATATATTCCCTCTAATCAGGGCTTTATTTATGACGTTGTGTTGGTCATAAATGAAGCCTTACTTCATCATAAAAGTACTCAGTAAATCCAAAGTAACAGGAAATTACTTTTGAATAATAATGCATGAACCTAAATTGCAATTTGACCTGTAATGTTGTGCCTAATGGAATTTTTTATTAAATTCGATAATAAATGATATTCAATCTATGGAAACTTGCTTCAGAACATTACTGATTTTAATTTTTTATTCAGAAATCATTTGAAGAAGCCATGGAGTCACTTGAGAAAGCCAAAGGACATAGAAATACATAACAAGACTATTGCTCAAATTCTGTCTGGCTTATGCTAGTATGAGTTCCAATATTTAATCATGGTGCCTTGTGTCTTACAACTTTGTGAAATAAAGAGTATTGCTGTATAGTTCCTTATATATGTTTGTTCATTTTTTATTTTCCATTTCTATAGTAATTTAATATCATAGTTTTCAGTGTATGATGGTATAAGTTATTGTAGTACAATGTCTACTTCTCAAACATGTAAACTCATGGTTGTATATGTTAAAGGCACATCCATGTCTAACCTCTCTGCTGCTGAACCATCTTTATCTCTAATTCCAGGAGATGAACTTAATTCTAATGAATCTTGTTCAAGTCAATAAGCTACTAACTCCTTTATTCTTGTAGGATTCTCTTCGTTGTAATGCTATTGGAAAGGTGTAAAAAAGAGTTGTAAAGACTTTAGCTCCAGAAAAATAAGATCTTAGCATGAACCAAACTATAGAAATATAATAATTCGAGTAGGAGATCATAATTGATTTAAGCTAATCTTGCTTCATTTCTCTTTGTGCCTCTTACTGGAATAGCATATAAGAGAGAATATTTTAAGATTTTTTCTGGATACCAACTAGTTTATATGATTAGTTTGAGGGAAATGGACATTTTATCCTTAGCTAATATTTGATTTTACATATTTATGAATAAGGAAAGCTCTTTCCTCTTAAAATTCAATAGGGTTAATGCTATGTATGGTCCTTGAACTATAGTGAAATGTTTAATGTGATACTTGAACTTTAAAAATCTCTAATGTGATACCAAACCATGAATTTGTTAACTAATGTGATATGTACCTCTAATGTGGTTAGATCCAAATCATAACTCGTGGCAAACATACAACCTTTTAACTATCATATTAGCTAATAGATTCATAATTTAGGTACTGCATTAAAGATTTTTAATGTTTAGTTATCACATTGAACATTCCACTATAATTCAATGGCCATTCTTAACATTATCCCAATTCAAAAAGATAAATGAAGGTGATGGAGAATTGGGGTTTAGAGGTTAGCCTTTAGATACCCATGTTATTTCTGTTTCTACTAGGTTTTGGATGATGAAAGATAATGAGATTTTCTCCCTCTATTAATTTTTGTGATGTTGAAGGTCAATATGTTAACATTTTTTGTTTTACTCAAACACACTCAGAAATATCTATCTTGCTTGGTTTTACTCCATACGCTGTCATCTATCAACCAATTTTGACTATTGATCTTAGAGGTTTTCAAGAGAGTATTACCACTGCAGTGCAACCCATTTATGTGCTTGTTGATGAATTGACAAAGCCAAACCTTACAACAAACTTTGTTCATTTGGGGACCACAGCTGTGTTGCTGAGGCAAATCTCCTGGAATTGTATTTATCTTGCTATTGGATTCTTGTGATGTTAAATCTTATATGCTTTTCCCTCACATTTTGGGTGAAAAGTGTTATAATACTACAAGTGGGGTGAAGAAGGGTCTTCAAAATTACAAGAACCTGTAAGATTTTATTATCAATTCCATGATATCAGTTGCTTTCGGTGCTAACAGTAAGGTGGTGACAACATTTGAGATTTCAGATGGTTGGATAGGCTTGGACATAGGAGTTGATTCCATCAAAACCTTCAATAAGGCTTTGAACACTAAAAGAATAGATGTGTTTGAGCTGAAGAATTTTGCCACAGCAAATTCATTGGTGGAAATAATGGACAACAGTTTAGATGGTGAAATTTTACTTGACCAATGATTAAGAAAGAAGGAAGAACATGACCAAAAGAAAGATGGCTAAAATAGTAAACAAGGGTATCACAAAAGTCTAAGTCCAATGGACTACTAAGAGAGTCTCCTGTGAGATCATTTTTAACGCAAAAAAAAGAGTGTAAATCGCACTGAAATGCTGTTTGGATTTCATTGCCGGGAATGATTGGTAGCTTTTTCCAACTGAAGCTTTTAGGTGCAGTGAGTAAATCCTTGTAAATGCACCAACTGGAGTTTTTAATCCCTTCTAATCTTAAAAGTGTAAATGACTTGTATTACTCATAAATTATTTAAATTATGAATATTCCAATTCAATTTGTTCACTATTCAAAATCAAGTAAAATCTAATTCAAGTTTTATGATTAAAATTTAACAATATACGCGCATATAAATTAAAAAAAAATTTATCACAATAATTAAAAACAAAATTTTAGAACTTTACTATTAACTTTAATAAAATGACATACTTTTAAGACATAACAAAATAATTTTAAATAATTTTAAAAAATAACATATTACATTATTTTAATTGTTTATAAAATTAAAAAATTACACTATCAGAAATGAACTATAAATAAAATATAAATTTTATTTGCATATTATAAAATTTTAATTTAATTTTATAAAAAAAAATTCGCATCAAGTTTGAACTCATAAATACACTTGTTGCAATTAGGGATGAGAAAAAAATTTTTAAAATTAAAAATAGATTCAAAACTATAATATTTAATTTAGTTCAAATTAAATTTTTTCTTATTTGATTCGAATCAAAATTAAATATTAAATTTATATATTAATTTCAAATCAAATTTCAAATTAAAATATAAAAAATAAAAAATCCGATATCATATAGAAATGTAAAAATCTGAAAAAAAAAAATTATATATTTTATTAATTTTTTTATATATTTTAAATTTTTATAAAATAAAAATAATTATTTTATATATAAATCAATTTAAACATATTAAAATTTTTATTAAAATAATATATAAAAAACTAAATTTTAAAAATCAATAAACCAAACCCATAAAATTAAAAATTAACAATATTATATATTATTCGATCAACCTTATCTGTTATCACTCCTAATTCAGCTCTAGAATTGATCAAATACGAAGTGCACATTATATCATTGAGAATGGATCTGATCCACTTGCAAAATTTTAGTATTATTTCTGCCCATTGGAAAATAAAGAATAAAAATGTAGACATGGTTAAAAATATATCATCCGGCCCATTGCAAAAGAAAAAAAAAAAAAAAACCATTTAACCTCAATTCATTTCTCAACATCCACTATAGACCAGAGGCCTCATTTCAGTATATAGGCATTATTATTAAAAAAAAAAAAAAGGCAGAAATTAAAATCCAGTGTTTCAACAAAATTAGAATTAAAATTAAAATGAAAAGAAAAGAAATTGCAAAAATTTAAAGGTAAGGCCATAGAATTCAAGATCGTGGCTGTGCTCGCCAACCAAGTCCTGGGATCTGCAAACATAATTCAGCTATTACAAAAACGAGCCTAAAATAATATTCTACTGTCTACATGTTATTAGAGGAAAGCACTTTAGATCCAATCCACACAATCAAATAACCAAAGAATATAAATGATTTTCAAAAATACAACCAATAACATTTAAAAACAAAATTCAAACCTCGACTCCATGAGGGCCAATGCGGTTACGAGATATAAAGTTGAGTATCAAAGTAGCAAATTCATCAGGTACATCTTCCTACAATTTTTTTAATATCTAGAAGTCAAAATTTACTAAAAAAGAAGTAAATAATGTGGGAGCAAATGTAATGATGTGAACCTGTATAGCATGCCCTGTATGTCTCACAACCACCATTTGAAACTTGCCTTGCATTTGACCAATTGTGAGAGCTCTATTACAAAATAATGCAGACAAATGTCAACCAATTCCATCACAAACATAACAATCAGTTTTATGATGGTGCAATATCAAGATTGACTGAAATTGTTGCTTATTCATCAAGTTATGCTGATTATTAGTAGTAATATAACCATGTAAATTAGAAACACAAAGAAGCTCAACATTATCGGTTATAATCTCATCAACAAGGTAGAACCCCTCCAAGCATTTCAGCCAGAGAGCTTTATCGTAAATAAACTCCAGAAAACTTGCACTCAGTGGTCATGCTACTCATCAAACCGGGCATAGGCCAAGATGCCATGTTAGTGAAGGCAATGCAAGTGAAGCTCCAGACCATTGAATGTGGAAAGCTATTAATTGACTTCGGTATTTACCTGTTTTTGTTTAATGACTATTTAATTTGTCACATTACAAGAGAGGTATAACAATAAAATTCACTATACGTGATGACCTACTTATCCACTTATGGTAGTAGACAAACATTTTGGTATATTAAAAAAGGAAAAGTAAGCAAATTAAATAGGCAGAGTATTAAAGATCCAAGGGAGGCTACCTGTCCAGTCTGTCAGTTCCGGCTAATAATAAGACCTTTGGAACAGGACAAGATAGAAATTTTTCTGAAAGGCCTTCATACCTGCAAGACAATAAGCAAACTTAAAAATGAAAACTAGAAGAAAACATGATAGTACCGTAAGAAGATGAGTTTTCATCTGAAAGAATCTAGCATTTTCATATGATTAAAAAAAAAAATGAAAAACTAGCAATTAAGACTGGCTTCCTTGTTCAGTAATAAGAACCGTCTTTTCTAATGAACCTTGAGAATATGCAGCAGAGCTTTCAGTTCCCAAACAACAGATCCAGTCAACTGAATATTACGAGCACAATAAGTTGACCATACAGTTCAGTCAGGATTTTTTCACACTATTCTTTTCCCCTTTTTTGCTCTATCCTCACTTTTTTGGAAATAGATGAAACGGTACTCTCTCTTGGGATCTTTTACATATGATAGCAATTATTAGATACATATATATATATATGCTCTACTTTAATATGCTGTTACGATAACTATATATATGTATAAATACATAAGCATATATTATACTCCCCATCTCTTTCAAAGCAAGATGTTGCACCCAAAAAAATTGAAAGGAGCTTTATACTAAAACTCAAATATTATCAGTAACACCTAAAAAACAAAAGGCACACCAAAAATGTGTAAGGACCTCTTACTTTAATCAGAATAGTTTTCAAGAACACCTTAATCAAGAAAAGATTACAAATAAAAGCCATTAAGGAATATGGTTTACCAATGCAGTTGGTTATGTATGATGACACTCACTTTCTGTATTAAATTCAAAAAGTTGTCTTTGAAGTGTAAAAGTGATTAGAGGGACATTTTTGCACATTGATGCACTGGCAAGGCACTTATTAAACATTACTTTCCATCGTCCAACTATATTGATACGAGCTCATATTCATGTAGCACAGAAGTGCTACAGAAAATCCAGTACGTATCCTACTTAGAAGAAAATTGGCATTCAAGTTTAAAAAACAGAACGACCTTAATGCAAATATAATTTTAACAGCAGGATTCTCCAAATCAAAATTTATTATATTGTTCTTTGGAGCCAAAACAACATATGTAACTAGAGTTGGTAAAAGATCTCATCTAAATCAACTCCAACGTACCCAGGAACCAAATTATCAGAAAAAACCTGGACCTTATAATCTAAAATCTGAGCCAGGACACTACCATCCTCTTGCAAAAAAAAAAAAGTGACTAAATTTGATTTAAACCCAAAATGCCCACCTAACTCACCCCACCTTGAATTGACTAAGAAATTACTGAAGCAAACCTCAAAAATTCAAAAAGTACAAAACCTGAAATGTTCTAAACAGGAAAGAACCTAGATCCAAACCACCCAAGTGCGAACTTTTCCTTTACAAGCATAATTCATTACTACTGACAGTAGACTTCCAAAATTAAGATAAGATTTATTATAAAAGAGAACAAGAAATGGTCCAGAACTAAGTTGGTATGAGCAAGGTATCATGGGAAGAAGTTTAGCTTTTGAAGATTCAAGGTTAGAAGTCAGTAAATTTACAAGAGGACACAGTTTTTAATTGACATTTCCATTGTCTAAGCTTTCAAAATATCCTTAAGACAAGATCATATTTAAAGAAATCAGAAAATTATCATATTCAGCGTGGTGAATAAAATAAAGGTCAGTTCGCAGCTCCCCCCACCCCCAAAAAAAAGGAATGGAATTCTTTTAACAGCAGGATTCTCCAAATCATAATTCATTATATTGTTCCTTGAAGCCAGAACAACATATTTACACTCATCATTAGAGTTGGTAAAAGATCTCATCTAAATCAACTCCAACCTACCCAGGACCTAAATTAGCGGAAAATGCCTAGACCTGAAATAACCTAAAATCTGAACCAGGACACAACTATCCTCTTGCAGAAAAAAGTGGCAAAATTTGATTCAAACCCAAAACACCACCTAACTCACCCCACCTTGAATTAACTAGAGAAATTACTGAAGCAAACCTCAAATAATCGAAAGGTACAAAACCTGAAATGATCAGAGCAGGAAAGGACCTAGAGCTAACCCACCCAAGTGCGAACTTTTCCTTTACAAGCATAATTCATTACTACTGACAGCAGACTTCCAAAATTAAGATTAGATTCATTATAAAAGAGAACAAGAAATGGTCCAACACTAAGTTGTTATGAGCAAGGTATCATGGGAAGAGGTTTAGCTTTCAAATATTCCAGGTTAGAATTCAGTAAATTTACAAGAGGACAAAAACTTTTTGATTGACATCAAGGGTGGTGAATAAAAATAAAGGTACGTTCATAGCTCCCCCCACCCAAAAAAATCGAATTCTTTTCATCTTATCCAAAAGTGAAATTTTAAGAAGTCACTCCTACAGACAAATTTTAAGAATTTCAAATTATAATGCCATCAAACATTTAAAAAGGTCCATACTTCATTTATCACAGAATCTACTATGTTAAACAGCTTGAACAACAAAGTATAAGGAAACCTGGATTACACAATAGCTCAAATGGCTACTCTTTAGTCCCCACTTTCACTATCTGATCAAATAAGCATAACATCCCTCTTATCAGACAGAATGTTCTGTCAACTACAATAGAAAAATGCCAATTGGAATCCTGACAATTCCTTTGGTTGCATAGGCCTGTCCTAATAATTAAATTATTTTCCCTATAAACAACATAGACACAAACTCCCAAAACTTCAACTCTTCATCACTTGAAAACAAACAGGAAATTAATTGCATGAACATGAAAGGACTTAGTTTTCCAGCACACTATAAATGATGCTCAACCATAAAAAGTCAGGGAAATTCCTCTAATAAATTTGTAAGCCACTAGGTGCAACACACTTTTAAGGTATACAACAATCCCAGACAGCAAAAGGACAAAACTCTGCAAGCTATTTGCAGACTTACTTTAACCATAAGCATGATTTCAGTTAATCTGAAGCAGTTTCAACAAAATAAATATACACACATGAAAACTGCAACAGCTTACTGGTTAACATAAACACTGAACAACCAACCTGGTAAAATTGCATTCATGGATGCAGTATCCCAGCTAATTAACCACAAAATTGTACCCCAAGCAGCTATGTGTAGCACCAATTAGTAGCTAAGACATTTACAACGAAGACTATGGTTTCAGTTCAAATATCTATAACAGCATTCGACCTCATCACTATTACACAAGTTTTATGAATTAATAACAAAACTTTACTCACCAGCCTCTCCAATATTGTTCAGTTTCTTCCAACCGTGCTCTGTAGACATAACTACAGAAAAAAGTTAGAATCATTCCAGTTGGACTAGGAAATTTACACAATAACAATATATATAGTTAGTACAATAGAAATGCTTACCATTGCTTTGAATCATCATAGCTTAAAGTGGTGGGAATGGATACACGAGCAGAGTCAATGTTTCTTAATGAACCTCCTCTAACACTCCATTCAATCTGCACATTTTAGTTTGTCATTACAACAATAATCTCACTAGCTTGCTTGAAGAAAATACAATTCAACCAAGCATATGCTCATATTTTATATCACTTGTGAACTTGGCCAGGTATGATTATATAACAAGCAGTGCATTTTCCCTGGGTTCTCACACTTAACAACTAGCCTTTCAAACGAAGAAATCAGTTTAGTCTAAAGCCTGTTCCATTTTTTGGTAAAAAAAAAATTAATGGCATTCTATTATCAGTGTTTAGTATACAATAAGAACGAGAAGTTCTCTTGGCAATCAAAACCAACAGTGATTAAAACTTAATTTCAACCTTTTTGAGAGCAAGAACACCTATATTTCCCTAACATTTTCATATTTTCTTCACATATAATTATTATACAGTCTGCTGACTTACTGATATAACCACCATGCAGCCTACTCATGAAGGCAGCACCTCCAGACAGAATTCCAATAACTTCACTAATTTGTCACACTTCCTTATACAGTTATACTAAATAATCCAAAAACCTACTTCCCATGCATACTAATGGAGTTGAGAAGTATTGACGCTGTCTAGAGCCACAACACTACTGGAAATCAATCAGGTGGAAAGTCCACAGGAACACTGCATTTGCAATCAATACATACATATAAATATTCTAAATAAAAGTCCTTTTGCATTTTATGAGTCAATATATAACCTGTAGATGTCCCACAAAAATTTCAACACTCCTATGTGATTAATGATATCTGAACCATTCTAGAACCCTCATGTTAGTCTACATTCATGATTTTATGGGAGAATGTATTAAGAAATTGTAAATGTGTAATATTTAATTAATCATTTTAATTATTAAATACAAATTTTGACATTGTTATTCCAAGTAAAGACAAGAAACCTAAAATCAAATTTCTTCAAAAGCAGTCAATAAGCTATATAACTTTTCCCACTAATAGCTATTTATTTTCATAAAAAAAGCCCAAATTTTGGTACATAAGTTTTTTAATCTAATTTGAATTGTCTCACATACATTCCTACATATAAACTGACTAGTAGTAGTAATCATATTAATCAAAAAATTTACTGAATTTTTATTTTCTTATAACTGAAAAAAGAATTGTATTATCAAAAACAAATTATAACAGACACAAATCCAATAAAGACTATCAAACGGAAACTATTCCTTTGATTTTTAACAAGGTATAGATGTTTATCACAGTTCCAAGTCTCAAGAGACTACCATTGAGCCAGATCACATAAAAAGGGAACAACATATTTATATCTAAGTCCAGGTTTAGGAGGTATTGTGCAATTTAGATTAAAGAGAAGATTCATGGAAAATCTCAAGTTTATTTATCTGAAATTCCTAGGGGTTCCAACTGATACTAATTGAAGAGTACATGAATAATTGGCAGGTACAGTTTGGCAACCTGGGTTAAAAGAGCCACAAGCCTAGATGATACTCAGCCAGGTCACAATCTCCTATCACAATTTACAGCAGTGAATTCTGGATTCTTCTGCTTGATGATTTCAATAGCTTGTCAAACCATTATCCAGTAACATTGTCCTGATGGATCATTACTTGGTCCTACAGCATACTGTTACTAATTTATTTTTACCTACAAAATTCTAACTTCAGGAATTACAATAATCATTATTGAAAAGTAGGTTATAATTAAATTAAATGTGCTGATAGCTGCCTTACAAGTTTCCATATCCACTCAACTTCAACTATTAAGGTTAATGCCTCAGAGAAGGCGTAATAGAACAAAATAAGAAGTGCAAATACACCTTCACACCCACAAAACACACACAGATAAGCTTGAAACACAACACATTTAACCAAATGAAAGAGATAAATGATTAATGTGCCAATAAACAGAAAAAAGACAGTGGTCATAAGAGAAATGTATTTACTGCTTTCTCAATGCTTGAGAAATGCTGCATCCTGTTGGAGAGGATTTTCTGCATGTGAATTAATGATGCCATCGCTGTTCCCTGAAGTGAGCATGTTTGGTTTCAATACATGCCAACAAGCAAAAAGTTAAAAGTAATGTCAAGCAAGCTTTTCAAAGGAACCAACCTCTACAACATCCACAACCACCAAGCCAGCTAAACTACGCAATGTTTTCTTAGCAGCAACATGCACAGCGACGGAGCCTCCCATGCTGCATGCAAATGATATAAGATGATCAAAGAAAAATTTACTCATTTAGGGCACACTCTTAGTATATTTCCCATTTTCATTGTTTACAAGGAACATATAAAACTTTAATAGGAGGTCCATTTTTCTATTTTGAGAATGTGAACTAAATCACCAATAGACCAATAGCTATTTTCAGGAAATATGTCATTGAATATAAAATGCAGGCATTAGTAATGAAATAGTTATTCAACATAATTAATCTTTGCACAAAGTACAAAGTTAAATTGGAAGCTTAGATTATTCTGCAATCCAAATTGATTGACAAACAGTAAAGTTTATCCAAGAAACAATCTGAAACCTCTTCATTCTCCAACTCCCATGTCTCCAAATTATAGGGTTGTAAAAATAACAAACATATTTTAATTCGAGCTAATAATATATATTATTTGCGAGAATAAAGAAATCATGGATGCATATACCACATTCACATCGAACCACTATCACAGCCATCATCAGGGTCATAAACATGCACATACAGATGCGCACGCACAAACAAAGAAGAGAAAGAGATGGAGAAAAAAGCATGCCTATCCAATTGGCACTTTGGCACATTTCCACAACTACTGCTCGTGAAAGGATGAGCACTCTTTTTCTTATTGCTTTTCCTCTTGATAATGAATTATGTATAGGTATGTACAAAACTTTTAAACAAAACTAAAATAACAGAAGAGAACAACCTGTGGCCAACAAGCACAATTGCAGGAGGCGAATCTCCATACAATGCATTCAAAACAGCAAAAACATCATTACACATAGTCTGCACATGTAAGATATAGTTTAGTTCCGTGAATGAGACACTAGAATGACAAAATTCATGATCAAACAATTAAAAATATAGTCTGTAGGAAGACATCCTTGTTTGCTTCTATTAACTACGCTTAAATAATGTGTACCTCAATAGATAGGTCAAGATCATTTTCTGTGGATGACTTTCCATGTCCTCTAAGGTCCATGGCAACTACTCGAGCCTTCTCCTTAATTTTACCAGCTGACAGAGCAAATGAGAGCCTGGCATAGCAAGTTAGACAACTCGCTTTTATCAGGAATTCAATTTAAAAAAAGAATAGACAAAATATCAATCTCCAAACATCTATACAATTGGAAAGTACATATTAGATTGGATTTCAAGGAGAGAATCTACTAAAGACAAAATATACATCCAGATTAGTTAACGATTTATGATAAGAAGCAATATTCAATAAACATCAAGGATAAATCAATGGGGACTATCTTGTTTGAAGCTAGTCTCTAACTGGAATAAAAAAAATCAAGCCCACTTGACTTCTAGGATATTTCCTCAAATCAGCATGGCACTCATTTTTCTTCTGGAAAAAAAGGAGAAAGAGTTAAAGAGAGTTAACCTAGCTTACACACAAAGACAATTGGGACTAGCATGGAATTGTTGAAATCTTTAACATAAGATAGTAAAGCAGTGGTGATACTATGGTAGAAATGTTCCCCAGCCAAAATAGTGAAATCTTTAGTAGATAACATGAAAATCTGCCCACAGAACTAACTTTTGACCAAAACATCTAAAAAAGAAATCAAAGGGGCATTTAGTATAAAATTCTCAAAATATCCTTATATAGCAATTTGAAAAATATAATCTCAATCACATTTAAGGAACAATTTACAAAATAAAATTCAATTACTAACTAGGGGTCGTTTGTTTTTATTTCCGTTTTCTATTTTCTGTTTTTGTTTTCAATTTTTTTGAAATAGTAAACAAAAACATGTTTGGAAAGTTGTTTTTGTTTTCTATTTTTGAAAACTAAAACCAAAATTTTGGAAAGTTTTGGAAATTGTTGAAAACAGAAAAATAGTGTTTTCAGTTTTTTGGAAACAATTTAGCACTATTACCATACAGGCACTGTTCACAGAATTACAATAAAATCGTTACAGTAATGCTACAATTATTATATTAATAAAATAATATTTTTATTAAATAACTATTATATTAATAAATAATACTATTAATATATTAAAAAATTATAATATATTACATTAATTATATAATATATCAATTATATTAATTATAATATATTAATAAATAATATAATATTAACAAATAATACATTTTTTATTAAAATAATATTTATTAATAATATATTAATAAATAACATAGTAATAAATATTATTATATTATTAATAACAAACGGAGCCTAAAAGTTTTAACCACTTTCTCTTATATGTTTTTATTTTCACATTTCTAAAACAAAAACATTCTATCCAAACATGTTTTCAAATTCACTAAATTAAAAATAAAACGAAAATAAAACAAAACAAAATTTTCAAAAACATAAAACATAATATATAAAACACACAACAATACCAAACGACCCCTAAGTTAATGTGTTGTTAGCTATGTAAAACTTGTAAATCAAACTAACCAAAAGACTGAGAATAAGAAAAGTTAAACCAGTTAAAATGATGATAAATTGGCTAAAAAAAGGAGCGAAGACTGCAATGTGCTTAGAAATGGGCAGTAAAGAGAATTTTAAAACGGTAAAGGGTGGCTATATGCACAGGACTGGAGTTGTATTAAGGAAGCAAACACGTTGAATGCACATTAAAACGAGAAATTTGTCCATAATCCATTTTGCATATGACTAAGCTGGTGAAAAAAGTCCGATCTTTTTGGATGGAATTCAGACCACTCTTAAAGGTAGTGATCTAATTCTCCTCCAGAATTTGAGATCATTGCCACATATACAAGAACCAACTTTTACCAAAGACAATGATCTAATCACTACTATGGGAAAACACTTATTTACAATTGGTTGTAATCTTATAATCTGTATATTTATATTTGTATCTCTAGAATTAAGTATTTGTATCCCTAAAATTAGGATAGACAATCCCTCAATTATAGGATTAGTTTTTTAGGAAGATTTAATTTCCTAGTTTAGCCCCCAGTTAGTTGTATATAAACCTAAGATTCTTGTATAATTCTCAATAAGCAGTTTTCCAACATACATTCAGTTTCCACACTGATTTATTTCTTAGTTTTTCCACATGGTATCAGAGCTTTAGGCTCTTCTTGGGAAGCAAAATTTTCAGCCTTCATTGCTGACTTTTTTAGGCCTTCATTGCCGAATCTTGTTTAGGCCTTCATTGCCGAACCCTTTCAAAGAAAGATCACTACCACCCAATTTGAGGAAATGTTAACTGAAAAAATCACTGGAGTACTACAGATATCTCAAAAACAAAAAGAGTTCGACAGGGAAAAGATTGAAAAGCTAAGAAACTTATTGAAAATCCTTGAAAAGCCTACTGTGGTATGTTATTTGGGTAAAGTTTCTAGTTCAGGTAAAGCTTCCGGTTCTCATGGATTAAATGTCTCGGTTAAGCCTATTACGAGTTCTTGGGTCATTGACTCAGGAGCCACAGACGACATGACACATTCCTCACAAAAGTTTACTACATATAACCTGTGTCCTAGTAATAAAAAATTTGTTGTTGCAGATGGTTCACTTACCACAGTGGCAAGATTAGGAGATGTTCAAGTTAATCCCTCGTTTGTTCTCAAAAATGTTCTTCATGTTCCTGGATTATCTACTAATTTGATATTTATACAAAAACTTACCAGAGATATGAATTGCAAAGTAACCTTTTATCCCTCTTATTGTGAATTTCAGGACCAGAGTTCGGGGAAGATGATTGGACTTGCTAAGGAGAAGGATGGACTATACTATCTTGAGACATGAAATAACACAAGTAATATCAAGAATAGTTTACCTTTGTCATTTCTTTCTGAAAAATCTTCCAATAAAAACAAAATCTGGCTTTATCAATTTCGTCTTGGACATCCTTCTTTTGGAACCTTGAGAAACATGTTTCCTTCTTTGTTCGAAGGATTAAATGTCGAAGATTTTCATTGTGATGTTTGCGAACTTGCAAAACATAGACGTGTGTCTTTTTCAATCAGTAACAAAAGAAGTTCTACTCCCTTTTACTTGATTCATAGTGATATTTGGGGTCCCTCTACAATTCCTAATATTTCTGGTGCGAGATAGTTTGTTTCATTCATAGATGATTATACCAAAGTCTCTTGGGTTTTTTACTTAAATTCAAATCAGATGTGAATAGTGTGTTTTTAAGCTTCCAAAACATGATCCAAAATCAATTTGGAGTGAGAATCAAGAGATTTAGGTCTGATAATGCAAGAGACTACTTCAACCAGAGTCTATCTACCTATTTCCAAAAAGAGGGGATTATCCATGAGTCATCTTGTATTAATACTCCACAGCAGAATAAAGTAACAAAGAGGAAAAACAACCATTTACTAGCCACAACCCGAGCCTTTCTTTTTCAAGCAAATTTACCTAAATTTTACTGAGGGGAAGCTGTTCTCACTGCCACACATATTATAAATAGGTTACCTTCAAGGGTTTTGGGATTTAAAACTCCTATGGAACTACTCTCACAATTTTATCCCAACCTCAATACCACAAACAATCTCACACCTAAGATATTTGGTTGTACATCATTTGTTCATGTTCACAGTCATAACAAGGGAAAGTTGGATCCAAGAGCGATTAAGTGTATTTTTGTGGGGTCTTCAACTCAAAAATGATATAAGTGATATCACCCTCCTACCAAAAAATTCTATGTGTCTGCAGATGTCACTTTTGAAGAAAATAAACCATTTTTTACTCAACCTTATCTTCAGGGGGAGACTTCATTCATGGAAGATAAGGATAAAGACTTCTTTTTGCTTGATTTGCCCCTTTTTTCAACATTTACACCCATTAATTCTTCTGAGTCGAAACCTGTTTCTGCTGAGCCCAAGTCAAACACTGAATTTGAGTCTGAACCCATTCCAAATACGAAAAATGTGATAAAGGATAATATTGTTCTTGATTCTATGAAGGAATTACAGATGTACTCAAGAAGGAAAGTTCCAGATCCTGAACCAGTGCCAGTCCAAGAACCTGATCCTAACTCTGGAAATGAGGTAACTACAGTTTTTTACTCTGTTTCTCAAAATGAGCATGAATCTCCTAAAACTATAACTAGTGATTATGATCTGCCTATTGCCATTAGGAAAGGAACTAGAGAATGTACCAAGCATCCACTATACCCAATCTCTAATTTTGTGTCATTTGAAAAATTCTCACCATCCCACAAAAATTTTCTTGTGAGCCTAAACACTATTTCTGTTCCAACTACATTATCCGAGGCATTATCTAGTGAGAAATGGAGGCAAGCAATGAAAATAGAAATGGAGGCCTTAGAGAAAAATCAGACATGGGAAACTGGCAGAGTTGCCTAAAGGAAAAAATCCAATGGGGTGTAAATGGGTTTTCACTATAAAATACAAGGCAAATGGTATTGTTGAAAGGTATAAATCCAGGTTAGTGGTTAAGGGCTATACTCAAACCTATGGAGTGGATTCCCAGGAAACCTTTGCTCCAGTTGCTAAGATGAATACAGTTAGGATTTTGTTATCATTGGCTGCAAATTACAATTGGCAACTTCAACAATTTGATGTAAAGAATGCTTTTCTACATGGTGATTTGGAAGAAGAAATATATATGAAGGTTCCACCGGGATTTGGAGGTCATCTAGAAGCAAACAAAGTATGCACGCTGAAAAAAGCTTTATATGGCCTTAAACAATCTCCTAATGCTTGGTTTGGGAGATTTGCCAAAGTGATGCTAGCAATGGGATATAAACAGAGTCAAGGAGATCACACATTGTTTATCAAGCACTCTGATTCAGGGAGGGTCACAGTTCTATTAGTGTATGTTGATGATATAATTGTAACTAGATATGATGAAAAAGAGAGAAAATCTCTAAAACAGTGTTTGGCTAGAGAATTTGAGATAAAAGAGCTAGGGAGATTGAAGTACTTCCTAGGAATTGAAGTAGCTCACTCACGGCATGGTATTTTCATCTCACGATAGAAATATCTGATGGATCTTCTGAAGGAAACTGGGAAGCTTGCATGTAAACTTGCAAATACCCCTATAGATCCTAATCATAAAATTGGAAAAGCTAATGAAGATGCTGCTGTAAATAGAGAGATAAATCAAAGATTAGTTGGAAAACTCATTTATCTCTCACATACTAGAGCTGATATAGCATATGCTGTGAGTGTGGTAAGTCAATTTATGCATAGTCCTAAAGAAGTGCACCTATAGGCTGTCTACCGTATATTGCACTATTTGAAGGCTAATCCTGGGAGAGGTATCTTATTCAAAAGAAATTTGGGGTTAGTTTTAGAAACATATACAGATACTGATTATGCAGGTTCAGTAACTGATAGAAGATCCACCTCAGGCTACTGCACTTTCTTAGGTGGTAATATTGTGACTTGGAGGAGTAAAAAATAAAATGTGGTGGCAAGATCAAGTGCTGAAGCAGAGTTTAAAGCAATGGCTCAAGGAATTTGTGAACTACTATGGTTAAAGATTATACTAGAAAACTTGAAGATCAAGTGAGATGGACCAATGAGACTCTACTGTGATAACAAATCTGCAATAAGCATTGCACACAATCCTATGCAACATGATAGAACAAAACACATTGAAGTAGACCGGCATTTCATAAAGGAGAAACTAGACAGTGGGTTGATTTGTACACCTTATGTATCAACCAAGGGTCAACTTGCAGATGTGTTGACTAAAGGTCTCAGTAGTGCAACATTTCAAGAAATTATTTTCAAGCTGGGAATGGAAAACACCTATTCACCAGCTTGAGGGGGAGTGTGGGAAAACACTTATTTACAGCTGGTTGTAATCTTATAATCTGTATATTTATACTTGTATCTCTAGAATTAAGTATTTGTATCCCTAAAATTAGGATAGACAATCCCTCAATTATAGGATTAGTTTTTTAGGAAGATTTAGTTTCCTAGTTTAACCCCTAGTTAGTTGTATATAAACCTAAGATTCTTGTATAATTCTCAATAAGCATTTTTCCAACATACATTCAGTTTCCACACTGATTTATTTCTTAGTTTTTCCACAACTACAACTGATCACCTTAAATTTTGAGTAAATCACCCCTTATGAAATCCCACCAAATTGACGTAAGCAAGTTCAATCTAATTACCAGAAGACCAAACTTTAAATCATATTTGATCTCTATTATTCTCTCTATTATATTAGCTCTCCTATTCCTTTTAAACATAAATTAAAATATGGATTTATTCCACTGTTAAGAACAATAGTTTTGAATCATATTCACATGGTTTGTTGTGGACAGAGTGAAATGGTTTGAGGAACAGAAAGCCATACAAATGTTAAACAGGGAATTGCAAATATCGCAAAATCAACTTTGTCACCATTTGCATACCAGCTTCCAAATCTAACCTTTTAACATTATTTTAACTATGAGTGCAAATAATGGTCCCAAAAGTAATCTCAGAACCACATTTTGACTTTTGCTACTATTTTACCACATGAATTGCAGCATCTACACAATCACAGTATAGATTGCAATTTCCTAGTATATTATTAGGATATAATTTTGTTAAGTGCCAGCAATCATCCTAGCTGTCAAGGTTTAATAAGCCATGGTAAAAGTCTGATATAAACACATTGTTATACACCTTTCAGGATCAAGCTTCATGTATTAGAAACGTGTAAAAAAATAAATAACCAAAGATGATCAAACATACCCAGAATAGCCACCCCCATGTAGACAAAAAACCACTGGTCCTTCTTTTCCTGCCATATATAAATGAAAGACCTAAAATGATAAAGCATATTAGAAGTAAATAGTTATAGAAAATGAAAAAAAAAATTTGCCATGTAATTGCGAAAACAATAAACACAAACATCATTTGAGTCTGATATGCAGACATCTTCCTCTCGATCAAAATAGGCCGCCCAATCAAGAGGTGAGTATTTTTGAGAAGAACTCCTACAACAATAGTTATTTTTATAACAAAAAAAAAATCAAAGGCGAAAATAAGTAACATAGAAAATATAAATGCAAACCAAAATTTCAGAACAAATTCAAAAGCTGCATTTGATGATGAAGAAAGGCGGATGAACAAATAACTTAATCGCAGACATGTGTATCACAAACAAATGCGTGAAACTGTTTTTCTCTTTACCAAAGCAAATGGTGAGAACCCCAAATGAAATTTATGCAACAACAGAAAAACATAAACTAAAATTAAGCAAGAAATGATCGAAAAATATGAAAAACCAAGGTTAGAGGAAATGAATGAAATGAGGAGCGACAGAGAATATAAAGAACCGTCTGAAAGTAAAAATTGGAAACGAGAACTTACTGAGTTGGAGGGCGATCAGGACGCGAGGCAAAGGCAGAAAAAACCGGCTTGCTGCTGTCTTGTTGGTGCTGCTCTTCGAGGGTCTCCTCAGGGACTGAACCCAGATTTGATGATTCCATGGATGGATTCTCGCTCACTTTCTCTACCAAAATTTTACTCTTTTTGAGAGAGGCAACCGACTTTATAACTGTGTATACAATTTCCAGCTCCGAATTGGCAATCAATTGCTTAACCGAAAGCCGAAACCTAGAGAGCCCAAAGCAAGCAAACCCAAACTTCTATTACTCGGGTCTTAGAGATTTATTTGTTGGGCTCAAAGAATAGTTCGCGTACCCCTAAAGCAAAGGTGCTCACGTACTGAATATTTTTTATATTCGAAAGGGATGAACTTTTTTTTTATATTTTTTATTTCAATAAATTACATTCAATATTAATACTATTAACATGTTTTATAAATCTGGTAATATAAATTACATTAGAGTCACACTCGACATATATATATATAAAAATATATGTAAATAAATAACTCGCATTCAACTCAATTTGACAAAAAAATAAATTTAATAGTACAATATTTATAAAAAATATTATTTTTAATATAAATTACATCTTAATTGTAACTTTGTTACAATTTGTATTACTTTTTTTTATCGATCACTAAAAATAACTAATTTTAGTTTCCTCTAACACTACACTTTGCAAGCAGGGACGATAACATTTAGCATGTGGGTGAACACGATAGATAAAGGAGCAATCGTTGTTGATTTTGGTCGATTTATAGGTCCCAAAATAATTTACACTTAAAATGTTTTCGTTAAGTAGCATGGTTTGGCTGTGTAAATTTCCCCTCTTTTGTTGTTAATATATAGATATTAATGCACAAGCATCACTAAATTAATTAAAATTATTAAAATAATTATCTTATTTTGAATTGAAATTATCTTTTAACAAAGTCAATCGCATACATATAATATTTACTATAATATAAAGTCAACAATATTAATTTGTATTTGACCCTCAACAAAGTAAAAATTATTGTTATGACTTAATTAACCACAAATTTATGAAAAATTTCAAATTTAACCCGAAAAAAATATAACTACTATTGAAAATACCCCTCAAATCAAGTTTAATCATCCATCCCACTTGTCTAAAAATTGAGCTTTATATTAAGTTGGGATAATTTTAATATAATTATATTTATTGTATTGATGAGTTTATGTGATGGAAAATAATAATCCACTCTTAGATGAATACTAATCTTGTAGGCCAGATGAATGATGTGTCGAAATCATTACCGTTGAAATCAGGACCCACCAAAATTGGATCCAAATTATATAGATATGATTGCACATCATTTTTATTTCATGTGACACATTTTGATAATAAAAATAAATCAAAATCCAAATAATTATGGAATTTCGAGGACATTGTGAGCGACAAATTTTTTTAAAATTCAAGCAAAATTATTGATTTGTTTAAAAAAAAGAATAGTCAAGTTGTAAAAATCCTTTTTTTTTTATATATCTTTTCATATTTAAATATTTACTTTAAAAATTATAATTAAAATTTTAAAAAACATGAGACTTTTATCGATAAGTTTTTATATTTTTTATTGAGATGATTCAATCCAAAATCTTTAAATTAAATGAGATGATACATACACTTCTTATTAAATATTAAATACACAAATAATTTGTATTTAAAAAAAAAAAAAAAACACTTCCCGAGCGTAGCCAGGACAAATCTTCTAGTTTAGATATAAGCAAAGTCTGCTCGCACCATAAAAGTTGGAGAGTACACTGTAGAGCTACTCTTGTGAATGTTTCCATGTCCAATTAGATGAGATCTCTCTATATTTGTTCAAAGGTCGGTTACCCCGTTTATGTCAAAAGTTCACTCAAATTTTAAAAGAATTTGAATAAAAAATTAAAAATTATTAAATTAATTTAAATTTTGAGTCAAACTTAAATAAAAAAATTCAAATTTGAGTTTAATTTAATTTGAATAAAATATGTATTAAAATATTATAATTATATAAGTTTATATATGTGAATTTTTATTTTTATTTTTTAAAATAAAGATTTTTTAATTTTTTATAATATAAATTAGATTAATGAATGTGTTTGAAATTTTTTTTTAATTTAAATCGAGTTTGAAAAAATTTTGAGACCTGAAATATTGAATTGAGTCAGACTTTGGACAAATATATAAATTATTAATATCAAACATAAACCTAATTTAATTCCAACTGACCCGATCCATAAACACCTCTAATTCTTTCATATATGAATATTTAGTTACCATAATTTGATATATTTCATTGGTTAGTATCATCTAACGGTGTAAATAATATATTATTACTTCAAAATTATTTAAAACTTGACTCGAATAAAATTTAAATTTAACATAATCAACTCAAGCTCGAACAATTTAACTTATTGAACAAATCAAGTTTAGATATCTCAAAGCCTAATTTGAAAAAATCGTGAACTTAATCAGATATTTATATTTTAATACATATTATTTTATTTTTATATATCAATTTAAGCTCAATTTTGAATTTGAATATAAATAATCTAACTTAAAATCAAACATAAAAATAAAAGTTACTTTTTTATTTAATAAATAAATTATTTTTTTATTTAATAAATGAATATAATCAAACAAACTCAAATATCTTAATTTTTATCTCAAATCAAAATCAAACTTAAAAATTAAAATTCAATCGAGTTATAATAAAATTTTAAATAATAAGTTTTGAATAAAACTCAAAAAATTTGAATTTATCGCTTTCTTATTAACCCCGACCACAAAAGAAAGGAGCAAATATCATATTATTAATAACGAAGTTGGAAACATTTAGATGGCAATATTACCCAACGGACATGGGAACCGACAATAAGAAATAGATAGAGCTAGAAGATCTCAAAAACAAATAAAGGTCACTACCCACAGAATGTCCAGTACATGACTACATTATCACCAATACAACTAAAGGAAAACCGTCAACGGGGTGCAGCATACATCTGGGTCGAATCATACTGAGGATATCCAGGCTGTGGTGATACTGTTTTTCCATACGAAACAGGTGCACTAACTGGTGCTGCTGCATAACCACCGGACTGAGGAACAGACTGATCATAGGTAGGCTGAGCAGCTGTTGGTTGAGCATAAGTTGCTTGGCCACTTGGTGGTGGTGCACCATATGTTGTCACAGCGCCACCACCATAACCAGGATCTTGCGCCCCTTGATAGGCATAACCTGCATTGTTTGCAGCTGCCTGTTCAGCGTAACCCTGTTGTGAGGCTGGGTATTGACCATACGCAGCAGCACTTGCTTGTGCATAAGCAGTTGTTTGCTGGGCAGAAGGCTGGCTGTATCCAGGAACAGGCTGGCTACCTTGCTGCGGATAAGCCTGGACAGTAGCAGGTGGCGGCTGACTATATCCATCACTAGGTGGTGCAGAGCCATACGGAGGATAGCTTTGTTGCATGGGCCCACTTGATGCATATGGGTATTGCTGCTGAGGAGGCACATTCGGACCATATAACTGGGCAGTTGGACCTTGATATGGTACTTCTCCTGGTTGATTGGCAGGAGGACCATATGTTTGGGGTCCTTGTGACTGCATGGCATATGATGGTGGCTTGCCATACTGCTGCTGAGAGGTATACCCAGGTTGAGGACCTGGCTGTGCATATCCTGGCTGAGAAGACCCATGTCCTCCATAAGGATGCTGAAGAGGGGTATGATTTTCGTACTTTTCTTCATATCCATGTCCGTAGCTATGCTGGGGAGCAGTTTGTGAATATGGCGGTGGATGTGCATAATCTGCTGGACCATGAGGCTGTCCATAATTATAATTAGACAGAGATGACGCTGGCCCCATTGCTGGAGCAGGTGATGGAACAGGTCCATGCCCAGGAATTGAAGTCGAATGAGGGGCAGAGACACTTCCCTGCCTGCTGTAGTAATCATAACCTCCACTCTGAGGTCCCTGCATGCTGTGAGGCCTCTGCTCCCAACTAGAACCAAAGTTGCTTCTTGGAGCCATTTGATGAGAAGGGTAGCCACCATAAGGAGGTTGATAATGAGAGTTTTGAGAAGGATATGGTCCCCGTTGTTGATAATCATATGCTGCTGAATGGGCAGGATGGCCCCGGGGACCCCATTGAGGTGGACCTGTGGTTCCCCGAGGTCGATAGCCCTGCTGATTGAAACCACCAGAAAGAGGTGATGGCCTGACAGTCTATTCATTTAACAAATAATTAGTTAATAGAAGGAATTTCATTCACTGATTAAAAATAAAATCAGAGAGTGAAAAGTAAGCCTCACATCATGCTTAACCATGTTAAACAAAAGAAACAGGCTACTAGGTCACATCTTGGTTCAAAAAGAAAGCAAATAAACAAATACGGCAACAATGATGAAACTAAAAATAATTTAAACAAAAATGAGAGATGAGCAAGCTAAGAGAAATAAGTCTGTTGAAACACATCTGTATTCAAACTTTGATGAAGCAAGGGGATAAAAAACACAATGAATAGACACTAAAATTCTATCTAAGCAGACTAATCTCATTATCGAATATTTCCCTCCAAAACAGAGGACTAAAAGAACATCAGAGCAACCAGTAATTAAACACTAAAATGAAGAGATTAAGTGTTAATAATTAAAGAGAAGAATATGGGATTTCATGAGTTAACCATGATAAAAGTGAACCTATAATCTTTCATGTATCAAACTACAAAAAGAATGTGCTAAAATTTTCACATAAGATCATGTCATCCAAGTGATGTAGCATATGAATGTAACACCATGTCAATTCTTTCTCAGACCTTATAGCAATATACTTATAACAATCGTGCATCATCTCTATTTACATATCAAAGGACAAGTACCATATTCTTCAGAAGTTTCAGCATAGCAACAAACAATATTCAAGGAGGTACTCATCCAATGAACATTTCAGACATGATGACTTCACCAGGTGTACTTCTTCCAACACGTTTCATGCATAGAACATGGAGGCCGCTTACATGAAGTCTCACTACATTATTATTCTTAATTTTCAAGTCTCAAAACAATCTTACCAACTATTAACATCTTGCAATGCGAGTTTAATGCCAGATACCTCTCTTCAGTGGAGGAAGGGGAATAGTGGTTGTCTATTGCTACACCAAGAAAGCAATGCTCACCCCATGGAAAAGGCTATCCAAATCTGCAGATTTTAAAGCCAACGAATTCGAAATCGGCACCTTCAACATAAATAAAAGCATGGCAACCGACATCTTGGATTGAATATATTATTTTCCTAATAGCATTCAAGTGATGTTGGCATGGATCATTCACACTTTTAAAGTTCAAGAAATAAAACTCTCACTGCGCAGAGAAACTATGAAATAAGTCTTCCTCGAGTTGGATGAAAAGGTGTCATAGAAGAAAAGTAGTTATGAGTTAACTACAACTGATTGTTTGCATTGGCAAATCCATTGAAGGAGATTGAGATGTACCCACCCATTATATATGACCTGAGACTTTCTATTTCAAATATTTGCTAAAAGGAAAATTATATATACACCAGCAGTGGAGCTTCTAAACTCCACAAGCAAGGTTAGAGGGTTTCCACATGTCCTATTAGGATATATTTAAGAAAACTAATAAATTCTTATAATAATTAAATAAATACATGATAACAATGTAACCCCACTTCTGAAGTTCAAAAACTTCAGTACCAGCGTATAGAATAATAATCCTTGGATAAAATCCTGTCCCGTAAAGTGCATACTTTTATTTGTGAAGAGAAGGAAAAGGCTAGCATCACAAACATCCAATTCTACATGCATATGTTCTTAAAACAATGTCCTTTAATTGGAATATCAGTGATCCTATCAACTGTATCTTGCATATGCTGATAATAACAAAATCTTGAAGTTACTAACACAACAATCAAACCTGCAGATAACCTACGCTACTCCACTAAATCCCAAGTACTAAATTTACCAGAAAAGCATACAGGCAAAATTCCTACTTACACAAGTAATAATATTTTGCTCATTACATGTTCTTAACTAGCGTCCTTCATATCTCAGACATGTTTAAGCCATCCACACAAAAATATAATAACAATTGGATGTTCCAAAATACAACTCAACAAATGAATGGATTGAGAGATCAAAGATCATTGGCCAAAGAAAAAGAGATCAAAGATCACATAAATTTATACCAAAAGTTCATTGCTGGCAATTCAATAACAAACTATGTCAATCTTTCATCAAAGTAAATACTTCAACCCTGGTAATAAAAAATTCAATGAAAAAGAAACACTCACACTGGATGCAGTTAAAATAGCATTATAAGATTAATTCTAGAGAAGATGATGCAAGGTCAAAAAACAAACCTGATTCATAACGTCTTTTATCATTTCTCTGGCAATCTCAATTTGCTTCTTATCACCAGTCACTCTAACTGTCCTTTCTTTAGATCCATCCCCTTCTGGGAGATGTTGAGGTATCAACTAAACAGATATTAAATTGGAAGTATTAGCAGGAGTGATTTTGCAAGAACTTCAATCCATACCAAGGCAAACAAATATCAACTACCTGAATGCGGGCACCTGACCTGGTCTGCAGTCCTTTGATAGTTTCCCCACCTCTACCAATGATTATACCAACCTGAAACAGGAAAGATAACATACACAATAGTCAGAAAGACTAATGCATGCTTGAACAGGTGTGATGACGCATGAGTAACTCTATACTTGTGCTTGCAGTTACATACAGGAGAAAAAGAAAGAAAAAGGAGTAACCTTCTCATTTGGAACTTGTATCTCGATCTGCTCAGCAGCTCCAGCAGCTTGTGTGGTAGCAAGGCCCCTAGCTACAAGGGAAGGTGAGCCGCCTGCGTCTGCCTGAAACAAATACCAAATTTAAGTGAATGCCAATGCAAAAGAAATAAAGTTTGGCAGGAGAGGGGGGAGGGCCAGGAACAGGATAAATAATGCAAGCATGAGGGAGACAGAAGAAACAAATTTCAAAAACAGCATACAACCTCAGCTATGACAGCATGTATAAGCTTTTCAGCCTTGGTTATACTACTCAAAGTTCCTATTATTTCCACGGGCCTTGTAGGAGCATCCCGATCAGCATCTGCATCCCTCATAATTTGAATTTTGGCCCCAGAGTTGTATTGCAGGTACTTTATGGTATCCCCCGCCTTGCCTATGAGAACACCAACCTGCAGCAAGCATTCACAAAATAAAAATCAGAAAACATACTTTTCAAACAAATTCAAGTTGAGCTTTTTATTAAAACAAGTAAATAACATAATGAGCATTGCTGACCTGATAATGCTATAATGAAAGAGGGAGTAAGCATTGCTTTGATAAGAAGGAAAGATATGATTAGGAATGTGTTATTAACGGAAAAAAAAAAGTGGACAGAAAAATGCAGGAAACACATTTAGGGGTTGTTTGGTTAGTGGAATCTTGGATTCTGGGAGAAAGGTTGATACCCAAGGGAATATGTGATTTTCAGGGCATCCCATTTTCAAATTCCTGTGTTTGGTTGAGGGGAATCTGCATTTGTTATATCATGTATTTTTACCATAATCTCCTTGACAACTTGTAGGCAACCTTTCATTTTGTTATTACAAAAAAAAAAAAAAAAACGAACCAAACAACAAATGATGCCATTATTATAAAATGAAACACAAAGATGTTATTTTTTTAAATTAAATATACTCAATTACGGGGTTTAATTACACATTATGCCGTAATTGAGTTTAAATCAAATATGAAAAAAAATCTTTCAATTACAATGTTGAATTGCAAATTATGCCATAATTGGCTTAAAAAAAATCCCTTAATTACGACATTTTGTTAGAAATATACACCTTATTTGAGTGAACAAATTGAAAAAGCTTTCAATTACGACATTTGTGTAATATAAATGCCTTAATTGAGTGAATATAAGACATGAGGTTATTATCAATTACGGCGTGGGTTTAATATAAACGCCTTAATTGAGTGAATATAAGAATTGATAAAAGCTTTCAATTTTGGCCTTTTGAAAAAATAAAGGCCTTAAATGAGTGAATATAAGAAATGAAAAAAATTGTCAATTACAACGTAGGTTAAATATAAACGCCTTAATTGAGTGTATATAAGAATTGATAAATACTTTCAATTAAGGAGTTTTTTTAATATAAATGCCTTAATTGAGTGAATATAAGAATCAGGAAAAAAACTATCAATTACGGCGTCCTTCAAACATATACGCCTTAATTGAGTCAAAACAAAAAATTGGAGATTTAATTTATATTAAATATTTATTCTAATATACAATTACAATATACATATATATATATATATACAATTATAATATATATATTATCTTTATTAATTGCATGGTTGCCCTTGTTGTCCTTGTAAGATTTTGTTAGATTCTGTATTGCCAAGTTGTCAACCTCATCTGCTGTCAACTTGGAATCAATAATTCACACACAAGAAATATTAATATGTTGCAATTAAGGTGTCTGATATAAGAAACGCTGTAATTGTTACTCAATTACGACATTTCTTCATTGAAACGCCTTAATTGTCACATTTATTATAAATGTTAAAATATCTAAATATGGCATATGTATTAGAAAAATGCCACAATAGGAACTTATAAGATATATTAGAAAACTTCAAATTTACATTAATTTTTGTTCAAAAGACACGCCATAATTGAATTAAAAAAAAAAACTAAAACTGAATTCCATACTTGCTTTTAAAAAGGGTAACATAGATGTGACAAATCTTTTTATCCAGGTTAAATTTGAAAATCAAACAACTTTCCCCCTAGAATCCTAAAATACCGCAGGGAGAGGTGGATTTTTTATTCCGAGACTCTCGGTACTGGTGGGAATCTGATATTTTCCTTTGGAATCGGATAACCCCAAACCAAATGTGAGAAACAAATATCCACAATCAAGATTCTGGGGGAAAATTTTTGGATTCCCCTGAACCAAACGCACTCCTAAGGTAGTTTAGACACATATGGAGGAGATCACCGTTAGAACATGTCAGTGAATAGAGGACATCCAAGTTAAGAGAAGGAGAGGAAGAAAAAGAGGACCAACCATTAATGGAAAAAATTAAAAAAGGACCACAGTTTTCCGAGTCACCATGGACATGGGATTAAATACATTACAGAGCATGAAAGGTTAGTTTTACCGTTTGTTGATGTAAACTAAAGCAAAATCAATTTAGTTTGAACTCAGTTCAACACTTCTCACTGAGAAAGCTAAAAATATTAACCAGCATACCTTAGCATTAGGAACCTCCATTTTTCGAGTAATAGTTGAACCATCATCAAACTCCTGCTGAGGCATCTCATCAGAAAGTTGCTTAATCTCCTCTTTAGCAGGTTCTTGACTATTGTATGCCTCAGAACTCTCAACTTTACCTAACTCAGCATCAGCAGTCTCATGATTATCTGTAGACTGTTGCTCTGTTTCCTCTGTTGTTCCTTCAACTTGCTCAGGTTTTACCGTTGCTGGAGCCTCCTCTGATGGAGCATCCTCTGATGGAGCATCACCATCATCTGCTTGCTCATTAACCTCATTTTGCTGCAAAGCCTCCTCATCCTCCTTCGCAGCTTCACCCAACTTCTCAGCTTCAAACCCATTCTCACTGGCTGTTGTGTTAAGAACAAGAACCATAGAATTAGAATAGTTATAATATATAAAGCAATAAACAATCATAAGACATAAACTAATCATAGTCCAAGTTCTGTTTGGTTTTACTTTTCCTATTTCTTTTTGCTTTCTGGACAAAATGCAAAAAGGGCGTTTAAATCAAAAGAAAATACCATATTTTATTTCTACATAAAAGAAATATGGTTGAATGTGTTTCACATTTTAACCATTTGCTCCTTCATACATTTGCTTTGCTTTTAGCAAAAAAAGTAAATAAACAAAAGAAATATTAGTAAAATTAACAACCAAACGAAGCCTTAATTTTATCAGTTCACATTCACCTAGAAAATAATTTTACCACTAAAACAAGCAATTGTTAAACCTCCTCAATTTTCCTAACAAACTGTTTTATCAAATAGAAAATTTTCAATTAACTCAAAAATAAAATCGAAAATAATAACATGGAAACCCTAGAAGTAATATTAAACCCATAAATCCGTTCCTTAAGATGTACATTAGAAAACCCTAAAATAAAACCAAAAGAAAAGAAAGAAGATTTTCATTACCAAAGCCGTCGGTCTTACCGTCGTCGAGCCTAGGCCGCTTGGCCTCCGAGGAATCAGATGCCGCTACGTCATTATCCACCGCATCAGGTTCTAAAGCAGAGTCGAGCGGCTTGTCAACAGCGAGGTGGGGCTCGACATCCTCAAGCTTCCGCTTATGATCGGAGGGGATAGGGCTGGGTGCAGCCGCGACGACCTCTTCTTCCGCCATTAAACGTACAGAAAATGAAAAGTAATCTAGGGTTTTGAGATGAAAGCGCGAAATGCAAAGCAAAGAGAAGTATAAAGAGTTGGGTAGTAAGAAATTGAGATTGTGCTTTTTGTCGTGTGAACATATAGGGTTTATGGCTGATTTATATGGCTGGAAAATATCACAAATTCACAAGTAACATTTTTTTTTCTTTTTTTAGTTTTTTCATTTACTTTCAATGGGCTTGACTTTTTGTATGGCCCATTTTTTAGGGACCGGATTTTGCTTTGGTTTTTCTTAGATTTATTGTTGGCCTGTATGTCACGTGCCATATTTTTGGGTTTTGTTCAAAATTATTAATATGTATCGGATAATATTTATATTTTTTATAAAATTAGTATCAATTATTTTGATATATCATTTTAAATTTTTTTATTTAATATAAATATATATAAATTTGTACATTATAATACAATTAATAATTTACAAAATAAATATACAATATTTTCAAAGATTAATAAATAAATTTAAAGTATAAAAATAATATCAAAAAAATTTTATGACATTTTTAAACACATAATTCGATCATATAATATTTGAATAAATATTTTTTCATGTAAATATTAAGATAAAAACAAAAAAGTAAAAATTTAACTAAGGTTTTATGAGTATTAAACTTTATAAAAAGAGTAAAATTGTTATTTTAAAGAAGATTGAAATATTTATAAATTTGAGTTTGAAAAAATAAAGTATAAGAGAAAACAAATTATAATAAAAAATAAAAATAAAAACTCAACTTTCAAGGGTTATTTGATCAATTAATTTTATTTTATTATGTTAAAAATAATTAAACAACCATTTTGATTTTTAATTTCCCTCTAAGGGCGAGCAAGCTGAAAAAAAAAAAGGCTCAAAAGAAATAAGTTGAAGTCAAGTAGGTGGTAGATCCTCTAATTTTGATAAATCCCCACCCAACTCTATGCTCAGTGCAAGCTCGATTATACTCCAAAAAATGTCATGAAAAACTTAAAAAGGAATGCCATTTATAAGAGTAGTCCAAACCTGTGCATTTTTTTTCATGTTATTGCCTTTCAAACCCAATTTGGCCTTCTTAAACCTTACAAAGTAGATGACCCTAGCGTTAATAATAAGTTAATCAACCTAAAGGGAGAAGATGGCTCTAAGCTTATTGGGATTCCATAAAGTCAAGCTTAGGTTTCCCTTTTTTTTTTTTTTTCAAAGTTTCTCCTTTCTTATAATTTAACTATTTGCTAGCTCATCCCTAGCGCCTATCATCGCATAATAGGTTTTATAGTAATTTATGAATAGTTAGGTCTTATCTCGCCCATAAGCTTATTTAGAAAATTTCTTGCACTAAAAGTTCATCAATATGACAATAACTGGTAGTATGTAACAGTTTGTCCAACTAAAAAATTATTTATTAACATTTCGTTTTCAATAGACCTAGAATGTCCTCTTCTTTTGTATAGAAAAAGAAGGTTGGGTTTGGGAAATAAATAGCATTTTTGAAGATTGTGGGTCAAGTCTGCTAACGAAAAATGAGCTTAGTGCTTATGATACAATAAATGAGTTTTTAGAGCACGATGTTTTTCTTGCAAATATCCTCAGTCTAACATCTCAAGATGCCCATAAAGAGGTTAAGTTTGGAGGTAGTTTTCTAACTTATTTGCTGTGTATGTGTATGACTTAATTTCTCGTTAATTTTTTTTACTTTTAATTCATCTCTATTATCAGTCGTGGTAGGTTAAGGTCAAAGCTCCTAGGTCGATTCATCTACAAGGAAGAAATATTATTTCAATATGAACAAGTATACCCAAATTGTTTCGAAAGACAAGGACAAGGGTAAGGCCATCCAATAGTTTCGATCCCAGCCTCTTGCTCCCAAACTTTTTATCTCGTCGATGCCCATCTCTAAGTAGACCTAACATTCCCCAACTAGAGGAAAGTTTCTAACTGTTATGTCCAAACTTAAATAGAAGGTTAAAGCTAAGGAAAAGTCAACCTAAAGATAGTGTGCTTTTCATTCGACACCTATTAAGGTGTCTAACAATGCTACTGGGTAAGGTTTTCGTTAGTTGTCAATGTATGCCAAAATTACAATGCCTTTGATAATCCTGAGGTAGCCAAGAGATCAATAGGCATACAATGATCCAATTATTGAGATTATTGTCTCGGCATCATGGAATCACAAACATCGAAAACATACATTATATGTATCAAATAACGTAACAAAATTATGTAAAAAATCAAAACCAAGACAACTATAGGATCATACTTATGTTTACGCATGCCTTTTAAAACTTTTAAATACACATTTGTTTATAATCATATCTAAGCTCAAGATATCATAATCAATAGTTAAAAAAACCTTTGCTTGTGTGTATGAAAACAAAAAAAAAAAAATCAAGACTCAAGCCAATCAAGTGTTTGGCTTTTAATGATCATCCATATAGCAACCTTTGCTAAAACATTTACAATGAGGGACTTGTAAACTCATACTAGAAGGTGTTCTAACTAGAAACCATCCTTTCTTGCATATTAGGCTCAAGGTCACAAGAAAGAAGAGAAAGAAAACATTTTTCTTGGTGATATACTGAAGTCAGCTCAATCCCTATAAAATTAAGGGTTTTGCAGAATTTTTTATAGCTAGAGGTACTTGTGTTTTTGTAATTCTTAATTGCAATAAACTCTTCTAAAGGGTGTTTTTTTCTTTTTAGTTAAGACTAGGAAGAGAAGTATTTATAATTCTCTTGAATTTCCACTTTTACACTTAAGGATGTAACTTTTACAACCTTTTCAATTTAGTCTTTATAGGCTTTAAATCCTCATATTTTTTGTTTCTTTCAATTAAATCAAACTTAATTTAGTCCCATAATAATTTGGTAGTGTCACTGTGTGTGACTTATTAGACTTTTAATATGTTGGCAATAAATATAATATCAAATTGATAAAAAATGACTTATGTATATTCATAGATCATAAAACGACATCTAATAACACATCATGACTATCAAAATATTGGAAAGTCAAGAAAGTTTTGACTTAACTTTTCAGTGTTCACTCTATTAGTGTAATTCGATCTTTCCACCATATATCCTAAAAAGCTATGTGCACTCTATTAGTGTAATTTGATCTTTCCACCATATATCCCAAAAGGCTATGTGCAGGCTATGTGTTTATTCACAAAACTTCTTATATCTTATAGTTTTTAGTTAAAATGTATGAATTTAGCATGAAACTCTTTCATCTAAATTCATCATCATGATTTGGCCAAAGACTTTATAAGTTAACTAAAGTTAAGAACATATGAGATAAGTCCCCTCAGATCACTTGGAATGATGGATCCTTTCTTGACTATTCAACCACATTCGCATGCTTTAGATCATACCCCAATGTCTTTTTTTTAGGAATCAAGGGCACTAACTATACAATTGAAAATCAAATTATGATGATTCACATACACGATAACTTGGTGTCTCAAGTCTAAAGACTAGTTAAACAAATGACACATGAAAACGTTTCCATAGATGCTTGGGTGAAATACTAAATAGAGTTCTCATAGTGGGCCATGTTGAATAAACTTGTTCCATAACAAGCACCCATATGTTAACCCAAGTGTCTCTATATTTTAACCCATAAGGTCAGTTACTTACTTTACAAGTAAAGAGGCTTAACGTGTACCAATCTCTAGGTATTGCTAATCCCTATCACAACAATATATTGACTAAGAATAGTTTAGGCACATGGCTTGAATGCATAAAGATCTCACAATTATAACTATTTAAAATTTCTTTGCAAGGCCATTCAGTTCCATAGGTTTCATGCTTATTGATGAAGGAAAACTTTTAATCACTAAAACATAGTGATTGGTGCAACTTAGATGTATGTCTTTTAGCCAATCGATTGGCTTTAAAACATATACACTAACACCTTTAAGGTTAAGTATCAACCTGATCTCCTATAAGTCTTACCTCTTTTGTTATAACTGTTTCTTATAAGCCCAGTTTCAATCTTTTTACAAATTATGATATAGTCTTAACCTTTCATTCTCAAAATACTTTTTAACATCCCCTAATCCTACAAGGCTTTTACTCATTTGCTCAAAATGGATCAGCTAGAAGATTTGGTCAAGACAATGTAACTTTGATCAATTAAAATAAAAGTTGAAACCTATTATCATCGACTTACAGATAAACTTGTTCGTGGGTCAGGCTACTTGCCCAAGTTTGAAAGCCTTTCTAAAATTTAAAAGGGTTTACATATAAATTTTAGATTCGTTTAAAAAATGAGCCAAGCCTTGGTGGTTGGTGATTTTTGCAAATGCGCAGATCGTTCAAGTAATAATAGTGACCAAAGTCAAAGTATTGTTCCCACGAAGATTAGTGAAGAAATCCTAACTAAATACCCATTATCGGCACACTCTATTTAAAGTTAATTCTTACAAAAACAAGAAACATCACTAATCTAGGCTCAATCAGAAAGTAAAAACAAGGAAGTAATTGTAAAAACTGAAAACATACAAAGCAAACATAAAAAGAACATAACATGTAACCTTAATCCAAACACTAGCTAAATTACATTAATGGAAATCAAACATCAATGAAAAATAATTCTAAACCAATGAAAATGAATTAGAAAGCTAAAATTAAAATAGAATAGCAAATATAAGGATTGAAAGTGAATTCAACTTATAATCGGATTTTACTAGCTAAACTGCAACTACCTAACCATTGAACTTCAAATGAAAATTTATTTCAATCCTAATTAAAATTTTCCTAAAATAGAATTTTAAATGTAAGAACATTAATGTAACAAGAATTAAAAAGCACTGGAATTGAAATTATTCAACAGAAAACGCAAAGGAATATTAAAATCTTAAAAAATCAAAACTAATTTCAAATACAAAAATGCAACAATTTTGAAATTAAAACCTAGATCTATAATCCTAGAGTGTGAATTAACTTAAAATGAGCTAAGCCAACTTAGATCTACAAGTTAACTACAAGATCAAACAAAGAAATCAATCAAAACAATGCATTAACAAGCTTAATCAAGTTCCACAAAAATCAAGTGCAGAAAATGTAAAAACAGAGCATTCAAAAGAAAATTAGCCCAACAGCCCTAAGAAAATAGCAAATTCAAAGCAAGGAATTGATTTAACA